AAATAGGTACCACTTCAGTGGGAAGGTAACCTTGGCACTTAGTCATACTAGCCACGTGACTATGGAAATGTCTTCAGACAATACTGGCTCCCTTGGCTAAAAAACAGAGATGAGTACCACTCCCTAGAGTCTGAAACTACTGGACAAGGAGAAACTTTTACCTTTTATTCTGATCTGTATCTTAGGGCTGAATATTAGAAAAGTATTTCTTTGTCATTAATGCAAAATTCGCAAAGACCTGGAGAGGGCTAAAAGACATGCTATGCTTAAGAACTAATATATTTATGGCTCTCAGCCTCTGACATTGTAAACTTATCTGCTTTTCCTTATGCTTTATTTGTCTCTTTGACCTTTTCCCACTGATGAATTAAAGTCCTATCCACCCATTCTTAGACTGGCAAAAATATTTAATGGCAGGAAATGGGCTGTTCACATTGTCAATTCCTATCCTACTCTAGTGCCTCTGTTATGACACATACCCAATGGTGTTATGTTGATTTTGCATGTGTAGCTCATGATAATCAAAGCAATTGGTTGATTTATTTGGCTTTACTGTACACCCTCTTCCACAGATTACCAGTTAGCAAGAAAAATATTTGCCAGTTGCAGTCTGTAGAGAAATGGAGCAGGTTTAGCTGCAGAACTGACCATCAAATCTAGTCTCCTTCCTATGCCCCTCTTTCTACATCCCATTCTGAACTGAATAAAGTGATTTTTTGAAAATTTACTTACAGTAAACCATGGCTGTTTCTTGTTCTCACCCATGGCTGCCAGACTTAAGCATGACCAACAGAATTGACAGTAACATTGACTCCTGACAGCTGTAATGCTAGTGACATTATTAATATATCTTTCTCTTTCCTCCTTCCTCCACAGGTCTGTTCCTTCTTTTAGGGGTGATTGATCATAGTTTTCACTCTGTTAGAGCAATCAGTTCTGAGTAGCAATCTCCTCCTGAACGTTCTGTATAAGCAACTCATGGCCAGTTACCCAGCATTTCTATTTTCCTATCCCTTGCTTCCATGACTTCTAATCACATTTGTGTCTTGATTCCCCCCTCCCCCAAATAACCGCAAAGTCCCCTTTGGAAATCTCAAGCCCTTGTCACCAATTTGAGTCTGCTCAATTTATAAAATTATTTTCATTGTCAGGTGACTCAACTCTTAGTTTCAGTGGCAAATTTTTGCAGTTCTTTCCATCTGAGGACCTGATTTAGCTACAGGCTCCAAGGCAATGCCCCATATTATCAGAAACACTATGGTCTTGAAATACCAAATAGCTCATAACTACCATAATTACTGACTGATTATCAAATACTGTTCACCACTTTGGGAAAATCATGAATATTATCCAACCTTAGCATCTGCATTAGAATCTCCATTTTTAGAGAAACCGGAAAGGGCCATAAAATTAAAGCATTTATTCAGAGCCGAACAATTTTGTGCTACTTTGCAATTCTGTTCAAATTTCTATGGAATCTGTAGAATAACAGCATGTGAGTCTGACCAGGGACCAGAGGGAGAGGGTTATGTTGTTTTGATCCCACTCACTATTGAGCACCATCTCCAACCAAATAAATAGTGAAGGGTAAATTTTTTTATAAACCATGCAATGGCCAATGGATACATTTAGCTTTAGGGAGAAATACTGCTTCTTTAACACTGCTAGAAGTAAGGACAGCTTAAGGCTGAGAACAAATTGAAGGTAATGTCATATTGTCACACAGCATTCTGTTAAGAATATGTTTGTTCATTATAATGTATACTTCATATGCATTAACGTAAATGCATTAATGCAAATACACAATCTCCACAACAAAGTTTTGGCTTGTGGCTTTTCTCATGGAAGTTTTTGTGCACTTGAAAACTTTGATGTTCCTTGGGCCCGATGACCCAACAGTTATATATGGATGCACTGTTTGAGATATGTATCTCAACGGTCACCCCTGAATAGTAATAATAACTATCACAAGAAATAAAGGTATGAAAATGTTGTGAAGCAAAGTTTCTTTTCAGAGCTCTACTTGGCTAACCAAACATGCCCTTTTCTAGAGCATCCCATTTCTGAAAACTTCCAATTTTCCTTCTTTCTAATCCAGGCATTCTGTGGCCATTGAGAATGCTCAGCACTCCCAGGACTTATTTAGCATCCAAAAAATAAACTCAATTATTTGTATATACAAACAAAACCCCAAGATGCAAACCCCAAGATCTAAAATGTCATTNTTTGATCTGAATAACCTGTCATATTATGTTTTGACTTTGATCCGTGACCAAATAGAGCTATTTTTTTTCAATAATTATTGCTGCCTGCCTTGTTGAATAGGGTACAATTTGTACAGTCACCATGTCATTAGCAATGTGTCAAGAATTTTAAAAAGTTTTTTAAATAAAGAACATTATCCTAACATTTCTTAGAGAACATCAGACAAAGTAAGTGTTTTTCATTGAGACCAATTGAAGTAATGTTAATAATACATGGAATCTGTTGTTTGCATATCCAGGTGACATACTGTAATATGTTCAATATTCTGCTTATTAAGGCCTGTTTGTAATCAAGTATGTACTTTAAATATATGCTATATATGGCAAGTTATTCAATAATATAAAGAAAAGACACTCCAATTAAGAATTTTTATCACTTGATGCAATTTAAGAAAATTAATTAATATGCAAATGTATATTAGTCTCTTTTCTTCCTCTTTTACCAATCTTTCTCTTCTTCCTTTCCTTTGTTATTGACTGTTATTCTCTGATAATTAGGAGAAAAAAGTTCTGTTTAAAATCTTTGTTCAAACATCTGGGGCTGTTAGGTTGCAGGGTTTTTTTTGTTTAGTTTTATGCATTTTTAATTGTTTATACACTGATCCTAAAACATGTTCTTAATTGAATACTGTGAAGAGACCCTTAAATGCCTCTCCATTCTTCATAGGTAGCTTGTTCTTTTAGAGGCAAAGATATAGGAAAGAGACAGGTAGAGATAATAACTTTCAGAGTTCCCATATAATTTATTTAATATATGGCATCTACAGAGCTCATGCAATCACTGATATACAATATACAATCACTGATATACACTGATAGTAACTTTCAGAGTTCCCAGATAATTTATTTATTTAACATATGGCATCTACTGATGTCATGCAATAACTGATGTACAAATTTTGCTGATGCTTTATCTCCTATATTCTATTGTCCACTATCAATCTGTTGTCATACATTGTCCACATATATGATATGTGGACAATACAATGTAGAAGATAAAATATTCAGATAAACCATAATAAAATCACTATATTATGGAACCATAGAATTGCAATGAAATGTTATAATTAGATATTTAAGGAAGCTAGCTATCAAACTACTGCTGGTGTGGCTGCAATGAGATCATCCCAGGTGCCTTGAAATTTCCTTAGGAGACATTCTTGAACTATATGTATTATACCAGACATGTCAAACTTGCGACGTCATAGAATTCAAAATTAAAAATAAAAGTATAGTTCCCCACATGGGGGAGAGCATGAGTGGGGCATATTGAATTGTGAGTATGTTGGGGGTATATTGCTGCTAATTGTAGAGAGATAGCTTGCAATTTTATTATTGTTAGCAGAGAGCAAGCAGTGTCAGGTAAAACTTGATTAGATGATTCAAAGACTATATGTAGATATGGATTTTTATATCTCTTTTAACTAGAAAATAGGCTGCAAAAGTATTGACTTAAATGGAAATTATTTGCCTGCTGTGATAGACTTAACACCTCAGTTTCCTGAGAAAAGGTACATGGCATTTCCAAGGAAACTATAGATGTCAGTTATCCTGATTAAGGATAGTTATAGCATCAGATTAAGAATGGGTAATACAGTACATGACCATCCAGATGCTGCTAATTTGCACTGAAATCATCCTTCATTATTGACCAGGGTGGCTAATACTAGATGATAGAGTTTCTCACTTTTGCTTTAAGGAAACAGATTAAGTGTTGCAGGTGTCAGGGAAGCAGCTGTGTTAGCCATTTGTAGGTTTCATGTCATTTTAAAGTCTATTAACACATATGTTTCCATGAATCACTGTCTACTTGGCTGAAGGAAGCAAGACAGCACAGTCTGTATCAACCCAGTGAGCTATCACTGAATAAAAAGCCTTTTTCCCCCAGAACTATGATCTCATTTATTTCTCTACATGCTGTCTAAAACATCAGTACGCTGGTATTTTCCAAGTACTTTACACAGAATAAACTAGCATATTTGCATAGAGAAGAGCTATGCATTGTGTAGCTTTGTTACAAGGATGTGTAGGATTTTCTTTTTCATCTCATTAATTCTTTCAATGATAATGTGGCTTTATCAGCAAACCCAAGACTGAATGGTGAGAACAGTCTGCATGAAATGGATAATTAATCTATTACCTCTCTCCAGGTCTGCCAGTTGATTTAATTATCCCTCTGTGGTAAACATTTCTCTCTCTCTCTCTCTCTCTCTCTCTCTCTCTCTCTCTCTCTCTCTCTCTCTCTCTCTCTCTCTCTCTCTGTGTGTGTGTGTGTGTGTGTGTGTGTGTGTGTGTGTGTGTGTCTCTGTCTCTGTCTCTCTGTCTCTCTGTCTCTGTCTCTGTCTCTCTCTGTCTCTGTCTCTATCTTTCTCTGTCTGTCTCTGTTCTGTCTCTCTCTCTCTCTCTGTGTGTGTGTGTGTGTGTTTCTCGCTCTGTCTCTCTCTGTGTGTGTCTCTGTCTCTCTCTGTTTCTCTCTCTGTCTCTGTCTCTCTCTCTCTCTCTCTCTCTCTCGGTCTGTCTCTCTGTCTCTGTCTCTGTCTCTCTCTCTGTCTCTCTCTCTGTCTCTCTGTCTCTCTTTCTCTCTGGAAATCAGTGTTAAAACTTCTAGCTTTCTAATGTTGCCACATATCCCTAAGCCTATATATTGCAAAATTCTAAATTGTTCATTCCTTGGCTTCCCAAACATTTTACAAATGTTGCCTGAATGTTTATTTCTCTTTTTTTATTATTTCCTAGTACTTCTATGATGGAATGGACATAAGTAATTTAGCTGTAGATTTTGCTGTCGTTTGGAATGGAAACTTCATTATCGACAACCCAGAGGATATGAAAGGTAAATATTTTAAAATATATTGTTATATTTTTATTTATTTACATGACATTACTTGAACTGAAATCCAAGAGAGAATAGTAAAATTTCTTTTCATCCATCTCAAATACTTTAGTTGCTACACTGACCTCCCATCCATTAAAGCAAAGATAAACATGGCTGTGAATGTATGTGCTTGTATTGTTTTTGAATGTGCACAGTCTTAATATAGATTAAAATGCTGATCTTTAAAGTTATCAAAATATTTTTTTTCTTTGTAGTACACAGTAAAATGTAGGAAGTTAATTACAGCAGTATAATTATCTACAGTATATGTAAAACCAGTCTTACAGATTGAAAATAAAAACAAGTATAAGCCAATCAAACTGTACATTATATTCCAATCAGTTATTATTTTTAAGATGTTATATCATACTGTTTACCAAAATGTGGTTGTTGTTTTTTAGCAAATGTCTAAATGATAATAGACAAGGCCTAAATTGTCATTGCATGGAATCTTTCTTCATAAATACAGGGAATTCCAGAAATTCCATATATTTTCTAATCATATCTGAGGTAAAGATGAGTTTACAATCTCTCTGGAATGACTGGAAATGTTAATGTTACGACTTTAATGTAATCGTGCAGGACTATTTATTGCTTTAGTAAAATTTAGTGTCATCATTTTCTTGTTATTAGCAAACTTACCCTTCTGACATCTCCCTTCCTTTTAGCAAAAAAAAAAAAAGTTTGCTTAGGATTGTTGTGATTAATGAAAACAAATATCAGGAGACAAATCAGGGGCTATTTGGGCTCTGCTTGTAACTGGATCAGAGTTTTCTACTGGCTAAAAGAAGTAGAGGTGGCAGTCTAGTTAATTCCTTATATTCTCATAGGAGCAACACTTCCTCAAAGCAGTAGCTTCCAGTTGTATGCATAATATATCCTTAATGTAAGAAGTATACCGATCAGGACCTGGTTTCTCTTGTTTACATTTAGTACAGAAGGAAACACTGTATGATGGAAACTATTGCTCTAGTGCAGTGGTTCGCAATCTGTGGGTCAGGACCCCATTTGGGGTCGATCGACCATTTCACGGGGGTCGCCAAGCAAGGCTGTCCGCCATTTTTTTTGTCCGCCATTTTTTGTCCGCCATTTTCCCCCTTTCTGGCAGGTGCCTTACCTCCCTTGGGCTGGGCCATCTGGTGGTCGGCCTGCTCTGTCTCTGCCGCTTGCCAGCTACGCCTCGGCTGGCGCAGGGGGCGGAACCACGCATGCGTGGCGCTCCCGGGCAGGGAAAGTCCTCGACTTACGACCGGTTGGGTAGTCCTCGACTTACGACCGGTTTAGTCCTTGACTTACGACCGGTTTAGTCCTCGACTTACGACCGGTTGGGGTCACGGCATTAAAAAGGTTGAGAACCACTGCTCTAGTGGCACATCTAAAGAAATATGCATAGAATCAGAGTTATGACTAAACTTGGTGCAGTCCAGCCCAGAATCTGTTTTACTCCATGAAATGTACAGATATATCCATTTATAATTGGTTTTTATTTTATCCCACCTGAGCCATACTTTGCTTTTGAGTGTTTTTGAACTTTACTATGAAACCTGATATATTGGAAGCCCTGCCAATCATCCTGGAATCATCATTTTCAGTGAACTGAAGTAAACTAAACAAAGAAGCCTTGAAGATTGTGAACCAAGTGTGGCATGGAAGTAATTATGTTTTTTATAAAAAATGTGGAAAGGATCAAAACGAAGCAGAAGAGTTTATAGCCCCATTATACAAGCATATAAAGACCTTATATGACCTTACTCATATTTCTTGAATTTTGTTGCATCCTAGATCAACCAATTTACTATTATCTGAAGGGAACCATTTAAGCAAAGAAAGGAATTGTTTCCTTTACAATCATGCAATAACCTATTGAAAATTGTCTTGATCCCCGCTTCATTAATATTCAGTCCCATTGACCTTGCCACTTCATGATGTAAGATAAGTTGCTTAGGCCTTTCTGAGAATCATGCATCCTTAAATAATACCACGAACCCAAATCAAATGCTTTTTAAACATAAGACAAAAATATATACTGGACTGTCCATTGTAATTGAGAAGCATATTTTAACCAGATCCTCACAAATCTTGCTAATTAGTAACCATTTACTTTGCTACCCACAAATTTCAGTTTCATAGAATTTGGAAGTATTAAAGAAAATCAACTAAAAGAAAATCATTGCACAAAATTATTTTGTGAAGATTAACATTTGAGCCATTAAGAAGTTGAGCCATTAAGAAGATCCTTATAAAGTCTTTGAGAATTTGCTAGACATCATCTAATTCCATTCTGCAATCCAGAAAGAATTGGATGGCTGTAGGTCATTCGTATGGAAGCCTTAGATCAGGCTTCAGAATTGTAGAACTCTAAAGAGGTATCTAAATGTGTTCACATTGGCATCTTGCCTATAACTACAGCTGAACATATTTATCAGATTTATGCTCAACCAACAATAGTTTAGCATTAAATTAGTCCGTGAGTATTGAAATACCTCAGGGAAACTAGCAATAAAAGACCAGTTCATAAGCATCAAATATTGTCTGTCTTTTCTCTTGAATGATTATGGAAACAGTTATGTTTTAAAACAGGAAAGTGTCTTGTGACACTTTAGTAACCTAGAGCCCATGCATGCTTACAAAATAATCTAAGTCCACATGTGTTTGTAAGTTCTTTCTTTCCTTAAGCAAATGTTATTATGTGACTTACAATTATCATGATAATTAAACCCAAATTATTTTTTTCAAAAAAAGAGAGTATATAGAGAGTGAGCAGATGGGTAAGCTTAACTTAACAAAATATCATATAAAAATATAAAATGTTAGGTAAACCTATTGAGCCTGCTAGTATCAATTAAAATTAAAACCTGTTAAATAAATAAATAACAGCTAAGAGGCTAAATCAACCTACTACTTATACGTAGAGCAGATGAATTAAATCACTATATCCCAAGCCCGGAGAAATAGGGCAGATATTGCCTAGAGTATAAAAGAATATTAACCATTGGCAGATCTCCCTTGGAAAGTTATGCAGTAGTCAGTCTGCAACAAACAGAAGAAGGCTCATCTGCCTCAAAAGCACTGAAGATGATTATTTCGATTGATGGCAGCTTCACACAGTAGCTTCAGGTCACGCTCTGAACAGATGCATCTCTTTTCCAGGCCTCTCACCTTCAGCCCAAGCTTCTCTTCTTTATCTCCACAGTTCATCTATACAAATGTGCAGCCCAGAGGGAAAGCTGTGGACTGTGCCTGAAAGCGGACCAGAAATTTGAGTGTGGCTGGTGCACTGGAGAAGGAAAGTGCACTTTACATCAACACTGTCCCACCCCTCTCAGCGGATGGGGAAGGTGGCTTGACTGGTCAAGCAGGAATGTCAAATGCTCCAATCCACGCATCACTGAGGTAATGACACATTTTTCTCCTACTCATTCCTGTCATTTGCTTTCATTAACTTTTCTTTACACACTAATAAGATGCAGTTATCTGAATATACCTGAATCAAGCCATTCTTCTATACTCTTCCCACCAACTGAAATTTAACAGGAGAAATACTTTGCAGTGCTGGGGCCTTCAGACTGGAATAATCTTCCCCAAAAGGCTTGCTCTCCATCTTTTCTTCACAGAGCAAAGACTAGGATCACTCCATGTTCAATTTAAAGTAGTTATATCTCCATTATATCCTTTATATAGATTTGTAACTGCTTTTTAAAATGCTAAATATATTTTTGACTGTATTTATATTTGTCCATTTAATT